TAAATAATGGCTAATTTGGGGTAATCTCTGATCAAAAATGACTAGATTTGACCATTTTTTTGTTTCATGGTTCAGTGATTTTGGCAATAAACTTTATGGAAGTGCGAATAAACGTTTTGACATGCTAAATATTGTGAATTTTTGTTAAGCCATAGCGAGTAGCAGTATTTCTATTGCAAAAATGGTCAGTTAGGTATAAAACTGCATGGCCCTAAAATAAATGACCCCGGGGTTAACAAAGCAGCTATAAAAGTTCTTCTATTGGTGCGATTGGATTTAAATTGCACAAAAAGTCTTGAAACACTCTTATGTTTAAGAAAAACAAGATTTCTGGCACAAAATCATTCAACCGTGTCACTATTAGAATATAGTTCGGAGTAGGGATACTAGCGGTTACCGTTGGTTATTTGGTTTTCTGTAGTAAAAGCTCTTTCTCCTTTTCTGTCCCGTCGCAGCGCCATCTAGTGTTTGATAAATGAATCAAGGTTTATTCTCGATAGGGTAAGTACTAATCTATCAGGAAACATTTACAAGTTTGGTTAGAAACAGAATTTTTATAGATGGCGGAGTGATTTTTGAGACTATGTAGAGCAGAATAATTTTCTGAAACAGGTAGCTTTACGGTGGTAGCTCTCTCCAGATTCAGTTATCTCAAAAACGGTGTGGTCACCGTATGCTTATTTTGTAACGGCAAGCTAGACAAGACTCCAATGAACACTGGGCACTGTTTCGCTGAGCTAGATCTGTGCCCATGAATATATTATGAAATGAAACGTTATAATGGTCGTCAATGGGATTTTTTACTGCAATCTTGACCCTATGACACTTTTGGTAGAAGGCGGCCATTTTATAAAATATTTTGAAAAATGGCCGCCATTTTAACGTATTTTACTATAACTCGAAAAGTAGTGAAGCTATTTTGTTCATATTTGGTATGTGAATACTGTAAGCATGGCACACTGTCTAATGACACTTTTGGTAGAAGGCGGTCATTTTTCAAAATGGCCGCCATTTTAACGTATTTTACTATAACTCTAAAAGTAGTGGAGCGATTTTGTTCATATTTGGTATGTGAATACTATAAGCATGGCACACTGTCTAATGACACTTTTGGTAGAAGGCAGCCATTTTGAAAAATAGCCACCATTTTAACATATTTCACTATAACTCAAAAAGTAGTGGAGTGATTTTGTTCATATTTGGTATGTGAATACTATAAGCATGGCACACTGTCTAATGACACTGTCTAATGGTAGAAGGTGGCCATTTTGAAAAATGGCTGCCATTTGTGCTTTATACTTTGTTTGTAAATATGCCAGCCATATGCCAGCTATTAAAGAGGTATTTCAAGAAATATTGAGCAAATATTTCATTCTATGGAGGGCAATACCTGTTCATCTTTCAATGATTTTTGCAGCATGTATTGCCCGCAGCCCGAAGGGCGAGGGAAATATATGCTGCAAAAAATCATTGAAAGTGCAACAGGTATTGCCCAAACATAGAATGAAATATTTGTTTTATTATGTCCCCACCACATAGTGTGGGGCCATATTGTAGGCCGTCCGTCTGTCTGTCCGTCCGTACGTCGGGCAGTTTTCTCCAAAACCGCTACAGATATCACCTTCAAAGTTTTAGGGATAACTTATGAGTGCATAAAGATGTGGATGAAAAAATTTTCACTCGATACGTACTTCCTGTCAGCCATTTTGAAGTCAAATGCTAAAATCCTTGTCTGCAAGCTTTAAGAAAAACGGCTTCACAGTTGCTTTTAAAACTTTGACATCTTGTTCAGCTCACTTCATTCTACATCTGATTAGGTTTTGGACCTGTTAGCTCAGTTATGGCAGCCATTTTGAATGTCCTAAGAAAAGTTAGCGCGCGATTATACTTTGTATCATATTGAATGGTGTTTTTGAGTTTTCATACTTTAACTATTTAGTAGCTTTATAAATAATTGCAGATGTACTTTATTGTAAAAGCCTATATTATTGTTAACAGTAGTTATATGTGATAATTTTGTAAAAAGAAATCAGCAAAAACACATAATCACTTTTTTATTGTCGGCCATTTTGGATTTTTCCATCATAAAATCTTGTCTGTAAAGTCTTGTCTACGCGTTTTCAGGTGAACCGTTTGGTAGATCAATTTCAAATTTTCAGGGATGATTCTTAGTATGAAAATCTAGATCTGATTAGTTTTTGGGCATTCTGGGTAAATATTGAGGCAGCCATTTTGGATTTTCCCTCCTAAAATCTTGTCTGTAAAGTCTTGTCTATGCATTTCCAGGTGAACTGTTAGGTAGATCAATTTCAAATTTTTAGGGATGATTCTTAGTATGAAAATCTAGAACTGATTGGTTTTTATTGGCTCACATGGTGAGCTTTTGCAATCACTCACTTGCCCGTCTGTCTGTCCGTCCGTCCGTCCGTCTGTACGTCCGTCTGTCCGTCAACAATAGTGGCACGTTTTAAAACCTCTGTCAATAGGATTCCTGTTTTAAGTTATTTCTGTTCAACATCAATACAGAAAACCCCCCTATGACTCCTGGTTCAAAAGCTCGCCTATTTTCAAAATGGCCGTCACTTTTGTCTTGCGAAATTCACTTTTAGCCTATTTCCTAGCTAACCTCTGTCGATAGGATTCGTGTTTTAAGTTATTTCTGTTCAACATCAATACAGAAAACCTCCCTATGACTCCTCGTTCAAAAGCTTGCCTATTTTCAAAATGGCCATCACTTTTGTCTCACGAAATTCACTTTTGGCCCATTTCCTAGCTTTACAAATAATTTCAGGTGTCCTACATTGTAAAAATCCATGTCAATGTAAAGATTAGATATATGAAATAATTTTGTTACAAAAAATCAGCGAAAAATTGTATCCATTTTTTTAAGTTATTTCTGTTCAACATCAATTCAGAAAACTCCCCTATGACTCCTGGTTCAAAAGCTCGCCTATTTTCAATATGGCCGCCATTTTTGTCTCGCGAAATTCACTTTTGACCCATTTCCTAGCTTTACAAATAATTTCAAGTGTCCTACATTGTAAAAATCCATGTCAATGTAAAGAGTAGATGTATGAAATAATTTTGTTACGAAAAATCAGCGAAAAATTATATCCATTTATTTATTTTCAGCCATTTTAGTTAACATTGATTTGTCCATCTGTCTCGCAAAATCCACTTTTGGACCATTTACCTTAAACCCTCTGTCGATAGGATTCCCATTTTAAGTTAATTTTGTTCAACATCAATACAAAAAACTCTCCTATGACTCTTGGTTCAAAAGCTCACCTATTTTCAAAATGGTTGCCATTCTTGTTTCGCGAAATTCACTTTTTGCCCATTTCCTAGCTTTACATTTTAGCTTTAATTTCAGCTGTCCTGCATTGTAAAAAGCCATGTCACTGTTAAAGGTAGTTGTATGAAATAATTTTGTTACAAAAAATCAGCAAAATAATATATCCGTTTTTTTTTTTATTTTCAGCCATTTTAGTTAACATTGATTTGTCCATCTGTCTCGCGAAATCCTTTTTTGGACCATTTGCTCAAAACCTCTGTCGATAGGATTCCAGTTTCAAGTTATTTTTGTTCAACATCAATACAAAAAACTCCCTTATGACTCCTGGTTCAAAAGCTTGCCTGATTTCAAAATGGTCGCCATTTTTGTCTCGCGAAATTCAATTTTGGCCCATTTCCTAGCTTTACAAATAATTTCAGGTGTCTTGCATTGCAAAAAGCCATGTCACTGTAAAGAGTAGTTGTATGAAATAATTTTGTTACAAATTATTGGCAAAAAATTATATCCGTTTTTTTTTCAGCCATTTTAATTGACTGAGAGACAGATGGCTTGAAATAATTTTGTAACAAAAAATCAGCAAAAAAATTATATCCGTTTTTTTCTGTCACCATGTGAGCCCAGTACCCATGGTACTAATTTTTAGGCATTCTGAGCAAATGTCAAGTCAGCCATTTTGGATTTTACGTCCTAAAATCTTGTCTGTAAAGTCTTGTTTACACGTTTTCTGGTTTACTGTTTGACGGATCAAGTTCAAATTTTCAGGGATGGTTCTTAGTATGAAAATCTACAGCTGACTAACTTTTGGGCATTCTGGGTAAATTTTAAGGTGGCCTTTTTGCATTTTCCGTCCCAAAATTGTAACAGTAAAGTCTTGTCTACTCATTTACAGGATAACCATTAGACGGGATCACCAATTGGTAGGGACATATTGTACACATTTGTGTTCTTGTTATATCATTGCAAGACATTCGCTACGATCAATAAATGCATTTCAAAGAAATAGATAATATGGTGGTGTTTTGTGTCTCCTTTTCCCAATGATTTCAAATGCTTTCTCATAGCAACATAAGCTGTCTTTGATCTGGTGAATTCAGAGTCGTTAATGATATTTATATCATTGCGTAGACTTTGTATGTGCATATTGAGTCCATGATGAATACTTTGCAGACTGGCACTCTTGTAATATTCCCCATCCTTCGTTCGCAGTTCAAGAAATAAATGCTAAAATCCCATCCAGAACAATTTTATCGATAGATTTAACGTCTATTTCGATATCTTTTTCGTCCACATGACACTTGAAATGTTACAAGACTTTTCCGTTGATTTAATGGTATTTTTAGAATGCACATCCCTCAAGATGTCGTTCTTTCCATCAGATTTCAGACCTTTAAATCTTTTTCCGTATGCCATTTTAATGCACGTCACAACTGTACTGGACGAAACAGAATGATTCAGAATTCCCGGGCGGGCAATACGCCGGGCAATACGTCTTTTATAATTCAAAAATTAAGGGAGTTGTGAAATACGCTTTGGTATTTTTGATCACATGGTACTTAATCAGCCAATCAAAGGACACAAATTCTAGCAATGATATAATAATGTTTGTTATCCCAAATCTCATTTTGAAAACCATCCGACAGCCTGTTCAATAAAAGTGATATTTCTAATATAGCTCCTACTAAATAATGTTTTGTGTTTCTTTTAGAATGCTAAGGGTAAGAAATTGAAGACTCAAGCCACCCCTGCACCTCCAGTGGCTGCTGTATCTGCTAACAAAGGTGACAACTTGAATGAGCAGATCACAACACAAGGCAATAAGGTTCGTGATTTGAAGTCTGCCAAAGCACCCAAAGACCAGGTTGATGCAGCAGTGAAGAGTCTGTTAGCTCTGAAAGGTGATTACAAATCTGCAACTGGAAATGATTGGAAACCTGGCAAACATGTCTCTGCTGTGCCAGTTACACCTGTCCCAGCACAGGAAGGGGCAAAAGATGTGTTGAATGATAAAATAAATGCTCAAGGTAACAAGGTCCGTGAACTGAAAGGGGCTAAAGCATGTAAAGATGAAATTGACGCCGCAGTGAAAGATTTGCTTGCTTTAAAAGATGAATACAAGAAAGCCACTGGAAATGATTGGAAGCCTGGAAAACATGTAGCTGCAACATCAATGTCTGCACCCTCAAATGGAGATGTTATGGAACTAAACAACAAGATCATTACTCAGGGAAACCAAGTGCGAGAGCTAAAATCTGCCAAAGCTTCAAAGGTGAGTTAAACGTTATTTCACACAGGGCCAACTTATATTATAATGCACATTAAAAACTGTTAATTTGAATTTTAGACCTACAAGATGTTTGAAGATCAAGGATTGTGAGTCTCCTACAGCACTGTTTTTCTTCAAACTTGTTCCAATAAAGTAAAACAAAAATGCCTTTCTGATGGTACGTTATTCTGTTCTACAGAGTCCTTCCTTTTAGCGGCTTTTGGTCCCCAGCTGTGAGAGGCACCTTTTCATAGCATCGGTGAGGTAGAGATTTTACCTAAAGATGAGTCCCTATCTTGGTGTAGTTTTTTTTTTTATTCAGTTTTATTCATTAAAATTAATCATTTCAAAATACAAATACATGTACAAGTAACGCTGTGTATTAAAACATTAATAGGCACATTTAAATACATATATTTGGTCACAGGTGTAGTGATATTTAAAAATAGAGATGCAAAACCTATGTTTTTGTTAAATATAGTGTAAAGATGAAGGTTGTATATAGGGGATTGCAGAAGTATAGTCATTATATGAGCTAATACCATTTTTAAAATGGTGATTTGCTATACATTTCGTTTGTAAAAATGCCAGCCATTGCTGTTCGATGAGTAGGCTGAGTAAGTAGCTGAGTAGGTATTTTGATAGATCTGCTAATTTGGTTGAGTTGATGATGAATCCACACAATGGTGATATCATTATATCGAGAATTCAAAGATCACAGATCATGAACCAGAAGTCAGATTTTAATTCTGAATTGAGATTCGAAATCCTGAGAAAATTTTGTTTAGAAGAACTTCATTTTTAACCCACTTTCCTGACAACATTTCTCAAAACTTGGTCAAAGAACCTTCTCATGGCAAAAGGCTTAGATTATTAGCATACTCTTGGCTATCAGTATACCATTTTATAGTAGGCTGTCATTAATTGTATTCTTATTCAATCTGTATCTAGTATTTTTACAATTCAGATTTTTCTTCAGCCCCATATCAAATTAGAGTTTTTTAAATTTGACAATGACATAACTTCTGAACTGGAATTTGGATCAAATTTTGTTTGCAGATTCTGATTCCAGAGAAAATTCTACATTTCTTCATAAACCATGCGTCAAATTTAGGGCACTTTTTGTTTTGACCTACTTTAAACAGACACCATATCTCGAAAGTAGGTTATCGATATACACTGTAGAATATCATTAAACGAAAATATTGTCAACATACCTGAAATACTTCATATTTTGCTTAAATCTTCCGAATATTCAGCTTTTTATAAGGTTAATTTTTAATGGTGATGCGCCCCATGTTGAGTATAAATACAAACAGACAATAAACTGGATCCTTAGACAAAATGCGAACAAATTACTTCTGTCCTCTATGTCTACATTATTCAACGTTCTAGTTTGAATTAACTATACTTTTCTCGACTTTTAAGTATGACTGATTATATTTATCCCACCGAACGAAGTTTGAGGGAGATATAGAAAAGCCTTCCTTCTATAAAGGTCCTGGCTATAGAGAAAAACGAAACATTAACCTCAGGAAAGCAAAATAAATAAAAAAGGAATAGATGAGTATTCAATAAGTTGGACAAAAAATGAAAGTTTCAAAAATATACTTAAATGAATGGAAAAGTACTGTAATAGATAAGGTTAAACAAAAGATCAAGTTACTTCAAAATACAAAATTTAGACACATTAAAAATCCAAATACTACATAAAGAAGATTAAAGAGGAAATTGGAAGTGACACCTATCAAAGGATAGAAGATAAAGAAGAAGATATAGTGGAGGATACCAAAGAGACAATGAAAACAAAATTCAAGATTAAACCGGGAGAAGAACAAAGTATTGGCATAAACAGCCAATCAAATTTAGATATATCATTGGGTCCAAGAAAAGTTCTGTTAAAGTGGCTCTAAGGTCTGTGGAGAGAAAAATGGAGAAATTTTACCTTTTCTGAGCTATCGGGGCGAAGTTTGGTCTAACATCTTCTTCCTTATTCCTATTTTATATAAAAATGTATGCATATGGCAATATTCATCAACCAGTAGAACTGGCAAATCGTTTAGAATCTACAATTCCATACAAGGAGTCCCACTCATAGATTTTTCTCAAATTCTTTCCAAGTCGACGTCGAAACACCTAGGGGGTGAAATTGAAACTAATTTTTCTGGCCGCTTGAATCGATAAAATCTCTGACAGTGTGAGTCTTTTTATGAAAGATTTCTTATAGACATCACTTGACGATTATTAGAAAGCATTAAAAGTTGAAACTGAAGCATAATCTGAAATAAAAGTGAAAAAAAATTGCGCAGACGACAGAGAACAAACTACCGGTTTAATAAAAAAAAAAACGGCGGAGACGAAAGGAAAAAGGAAGACGAAAAATTGGAGGATTTTCCTTTGCCATTATCGATCGATATAAGCATGGGCTTCCAACTAGATAATTGAAAGCCCATGATATAAGGTATGTGCACAAATTCTAGTTGCATACATGGAAAATAGATACATTTTTCAAGGCAACAACATATTCAAAGCTTTCATTTTACGATAGGCCCAGGATCATTGGATACGACTCGGCAGTCGATGTTCCCACTTTAAACCAGCTGCCAAAAATTGACCAAAATTCTAAAACTAGTGCAATATACTAACAAAAGAAATTGTTAGAAGATTAAGGAATATACAGGTGCCAATAGGATGTGGATTAGCGACAATAACCAAAATATGTTAGATAACATTAAAAGTGTTAATTTAAGGAATTGGGCAAAGAACATAGCCTCGTATGATTTCTCTACACTTTACACAAAGATAAATCTAACTAACATAAAGGAAAAACTGAAATGGGTAATATATAAAGCCTTCAGATGAGGAACTAACCAGAAGATAACAGTAGGCGGAGATAGAGCCAAAAGGGGTTGAAAGGCGGATAATAAAAAGGCATATACCAAAGGAGATTGCAATGATCTAGTGGATTTCATTGCGGATACAGCTTACTTTAAAGCAGGGAAATCAATTCTAAGACAGAAAATTTGAATACCTATGGGAATTGATCCGGTGCCATATATGGCAAACCTATACTTATACTGTTATGAATTTAAAAGCCATTGAGAAAATGTATAGGGAAGACTACTCCAAAGTACTAACGCTAAAACTACAAGATTCATCAATGATTTATGTACTATAAACAACGATGGAGAAATGGAGACAGATATGAAGAACATCTAACCCGAAGAACTAGTGTTAAACAAGGAAAATGAGAAGGATACAGAAACAACTTTTCTGGACATACAAATGAAGATAGTAGATAAACAAATCATAACAAAACTATATGATAAAAGGGAAAATTTCAATTTCCAAATTGTCAAATATCCAGATTTATCTGGAAATATTCCTAGAAACCAGTCCTATGGAATATTTATATCACAAATAATAAGGATTTCAAGAATCTGCAGTCAATTGGAAGATGCAACAAACAGAGTTACCAGCCTTGGAAAAAAAATACAATGTCAAGGTTACAGGAGTAACATACTATACTAAATTCGTATACTAAGAAAGCTTTAACAAGAAATAAAATAGATGGATATGTGTTAAATACAATATGCAGGAATATACTAAGAAAGCTATGTATTAAATACAATATGCAGGAAAATATCATCATGAAGCACTGGAAAATAAGTGAGGGAAGACAACATTAACAAATGAATATGAAACAGTACATTATCTGCAAAGATGGTAAACTATGAGAAGTTAGAAGACCGATCACAAGTAAGTGGAAGGTACTGACAGAAGACAACATTAGAACATCAGTAAGGGGAGGGGGAGAGTTTTCCGGCCGGATCAAAACGTTTAACCCACCTATCAAATTAAGACAACAATCAAATCAAGACAAAGAAAGAAGAAAGAAGAAAACAAATGAAGACACTGATGCAGCAGCAACAAATGATGTCCGTTCTTCAATCCGTTTGTCCGTCCGTTCGTGTGTCCGGGCAATAACTCAAATACCAGTTTTTTTATAGGCTTTACAGGTGTAGGACCTCTGCTCGAAAAGGAATTTTCAATATGGCAACTAAATTTCAAAATGGCCACCATTAAAAGAACGTAACCATTGATAACTCAAATACATGTTGATGGATTTGGTTCAAATTCTATATGCTGATGCCTAAAGACAAAGAAGTTTTGCTCGAGAAGACATTTTTAAGATGGCCACTGAATTTCAAAATGGCCACCATTTTTTGTAAAAAAACGTAATCATTGATAACTCAAATACCAATGGATGGATTTGGTTCCAATTTTTTATGCTGATGTTTAGGGAAAAGGAGATCTGCTTCAGAAGAAATTTCAAAGATGTCAGCTGAATTTCAAAATGGCTGCCATTTTTCATAAAAAAGGTCTTTGTAAGGATTTACTTCAAATTGCATAGAGATAAAGGAGCTCTGCTTGAGAAGAAATTTTCAGGGTGGCTGCTATTTATTGAAATTTCCGCCATTTTTCATTAAACATATAGGAGCTCTGCTAAAGAAGAAATCTAAAGATGACAGCTGCATTTCAAAATGGCAACCATGGTTCATAAAAACATAATAAATGATAATTCAAATACAAGTGGATGGATTTGGCTCAAATTTTATATGGCCGCTATTTATCAAATCATGTTTTGTTTGGTGGGATTTGCTACTCAGTAGAGTTGGTGTTTTTCTAGTTTTTTGGTATTTTTTATCCTACAAAACATAATTCAGAAATGTTACTTCATCTTGATATATTATACTACACTACACTATACTATTATTATTCAAATACAGTATATACAAAAACATGTTATTAACATGTATTTAACTATGTATACATAATACTTAAAGCAGTGTGATGCATCCATAATGTTCTTCAGACAAGTTCAATGACTTTGATTTATATTTATATTCATGTAAATTGTATTTAATGAATTGATCGAATAACACGACATCTATACGATGTCTTATGTATCAGCTCTTTGAAAAGTGAGTGGCAATTCACAC